TGACACGACCGTAAAGTTGACAGACTACTTCTGGGTCCGTTCAGCATTAATGCTGCGTGCTTCTTCCTTATCGCAGTTTGTCGAGCTAATAGGCCTCAACTGGCATGCTTACCATCACTCCAATGAGAAAGGGCGGTGTTCTTGATGTCGGGCCACCAGAAGCAGGCTTAGGTGCATCGTGCGCTGTTTTTTGTACATGAGCCTACATGGCCACACTGACGCATTAGACTGGTGAAGTACTACTCCCTTCGCCGTGCTCCAAGTCCTCTTTGTGCCTTCTTCAAAAAATTAAGTCTGTGACGATGCCAGAGCACAAGGGAAACATCAAGAGACAAACAACAGCTTGTTTACTAGTCCGCTTCGGCTTCAGCAGTAGATGGCCGTAGCACTTCTCGCTCGTTACATGTGCTGTTTCTGTTTCGCATGTGTCATCTTTTGTTTTCAAAGTTACCCCCTGTCTTCGTGGCAGTGGTTGTGTGCAAGTCGTTTGTGAGATAGTGGCACTCTTGCTCTTCGCAACTACGCGCGCTCTTTATGCATAATTTATAGCTCATTCCCACTGCTTTGCAGTCGTATTGCTTGCTGTAGTTTGCTGTCTAACCCGGGCTCCTGGGGCGCCGGCAACCGTGTGTGCCTGCGAAGCATCCGGGTTGCTGAACTGTATGGCCAGTAGACCGGCTAGCAGTCCTTGGCTTCATTTCCCTCCTCCCAAATCGCTACCACACCCATGCATTGGTATGCATGCCGGGCGTCCAAGGAGTCCAGCGCGCGACGAGCTCCAGCGACGCCGCCTCCTCTGGAATTCCATCTCCGGCATGGCAGCTTTGGCCAAGACTTCGGAGCATACGTGCAGCTCTTGCACTTGCAAAAACAAGGTCTAGTGATTCTAGATTTGTCAAAGTATGACGCTAGGAATGTGAGCCTAGGTGAAGGATTCGCAAGTCTCATGCTTCTGCACCTGCTCTCATGACAGATGCACCGCTTCGGAAGTTCTCTGCGAGCACTGTGGTGTGGGATAGATGTTAGCTTCTGGTGCCGTGGGTGGTCTTGTCACGACAAATGAACCATCTGGGCAGCTAGGCTCGTTGCCTGAATTCTGAGCTTAGAACGGCATCAGCAAGAGTGCAACGGCGTAGCATCTCTGGAAAGAGCTGGGCAAGCTGGGCTACAGCTGGGCGCACTGGTTCAGCTGTCCCTGGCCGGCCGTGAGATTCTGCCAGGATGGGAGCTGGTTCTCTCTGTACGTGGCAAGTAGGCAAGGCACTAGGGGTGGCGGCCGTGCTGACGTCAGCTAGTCGTCCTAGTAATGAACCGGGCTTGCCCGATGACCCGGCAATTTGCCGAAACGGAGCCGGCGAGGCAGCGAGCTTCGCCTGCATCGCCTGAGCGGGGGGCAGCACACGGAACGGAACGGACCCCCCCCCGCAAGAGTCATCCGAAGCAAAGCGCCGAAGCGCCTCCGAGAGGTTCGCGGCGGCGGCCTCACAGAGGTTGGGCTGTCGGCTCTTTCTTGCAAACGGAGTATGCACCAAAGCCGATTGCCCGAGCGCAAGCATGGGAAGGCCCGAACAGTGTCTTTCTGGGTTATTAATTATGGGCTGTTGTTTTTCAGAACCCTTGCCTGTTGTCTGTTGTGCTTCCAGATTCGGGCAGCGCAAATCGACAACCGTGCCTGCTGTTGTAGGGCTGCGTAGGGATCAAGCGAGCCATACCCACTGCCTGAAGCACTGTCAGCTGCTTGCTGCGAAACCTCTGGGCATACTGGGGCCACAACCGTAGGCGTTCATGTATGGATTCATATACCTGCGCCGTCGGCAAGCAAAGTCGCCAGACAGGCTCCCAAGAGCAGTTTGAAGAAGTGCCGGAGATAGAGGGCACGCATTATACGAATTCCATGGCATCTGGCTGTAGGAACCTCGAACTGCGATGGCTCAGAGCACAAGGAACAAAAATCCCACGGAGAAGACAGCGTTGTCCCAAGAGTTTCACTCTGTCTGGCCGCAGCAGCTGCAGCTTGCATCCTGGGGCCACAATCCGTGAATTTTCGTCGCTGATACCACGAGACGATGGCTCTTGCCAAATCCGGGGAAAACGTCAGCATTGGACCTCTAGGTACTCACCCCCGCACTCACAACTCGCACTGTGACACATATGCGGACGCGATAAAAAGATTTTTCTCAAGTTTGTCGCAGTTTGTAGGACACTCGGGTATCGACGACGTTGCTTATCCGGCCCTGACCCTCTTTTGAAGCGGTGGGACAGGACGTAATTTGCAGCCGGAGAGCTGGGTCATGGCCTGCATGTAGGCTGCAGCCTGCGACAGAGCCGAGGCGTGGCCAGGCCTTAACGCCCTGAAGGAAGCTGCTCCGAAGTTTGTTTTCCAGCTCGTTTGCTTCTAAATGTTCCATCTGCTGCTGCTACTGCACACACAGCATCATTGTGATTTTGGTGGTTGGATTCGGTTAGATGTTGGCGCTAGCTGTTTTCATGGCTCACAAGATTCTGACTGCTTTGCCTTCATAAACGTGCGATTTTAGTCCAGCAAAGTCAAAAGCTGCTTTGCTTGTACAATTCGCATCATCCGGGCCGTTGGGCTGCCGGGACCGTTAAAAGTGCTTTGTTCATGCAACCCTCTGAGGCCCTGATTCGAGCCTGCATGGCGTGGGCCGCATTTCGGCCCTCCAGGGAGCCGGCCAGGGCCTGGCGAAAAGGCCGAAAAAACCTCTGTGCGAAGGGGGAGGGAGGACGCCCCGTTTCCGGCGCCTGCTGTTGCAGGAGGGCGGCCTGAAGAATGCGGTCTCTGACGCCGGGGATCTGGTAAAATCGATCTCAGCCTGGCCTGGGCGGCGCTAGGACTTGCGCTGGAGCCAGCTTTGCCTGCGACGGTAGCACCAAGGAAAAGTTGCAGCGATGAGGCACCACGAACCCTCTTGAAAGCAGCTGCTTCCCGACTAGCATAGCAGCATATCCTGCTCGCTGTGGATTTGGGATGCAAGCCATCCCAGACCGTGGCAAATTAAAGGCCTGCGCCCAGGGCAGCGGCAGGCAGAGTCGAGCTCCAATTGGTACTACCTGCAGGGCTTGAGATGTCTTCGGATCTAAGCTGACTCTCAGCTGGCCTGAGGAAGGTGTGGCTTTGCCTACAGTCCGAGGCCGAGGCGAATCGATCAAGGCCCCCGGCTCAAAACCCTCTCCCTCTGCTCCTGAGGCCCGGTCTCATTGCCTCCAATTTCCTTGCATGGGGGGCCCAGTGTGCACAGAGTCTGATGGCACAAGCTTACAGCGAGACTGCACAAGACTGCACAGCCGCTCAGATCGCTCAGATCCCTCAGCCAAGCTGCGGCATGTTGCGCCCGAGCCACTTCTCGAAGGCGCGCTGGAAGGGCGAAAGCAACAATCGAAGAGCGGCTGAGATTGAAGCGGCTTGCAGGAGCCTTCCCTTCCTCGTCCTCCTCGGCAGCGGCTGCATCACCCTCCTGCCGAGACCGGATTCGTTGCGCCTCCCGCTCTTCGCTTCCCGCACTGAGCCACTGGCCGTGAGCTCCGCCTGGAAGCTTCAGAAAGGGGTCGGGAGCCGAAGCCGAAGCTGAAGCTGAGTGGTGCACGGCTGCCGGGGCGGCCTCTCTGTCCTCGGCCACACTCCACTCCAGGGCCCCGGACGAAGGCGCTGCGACGGGACTGGGTCCGCGGGCGTCATCCCGGCCCGCGCCCGCCGCACCCGCCGCGCCCGCCGCGCCCGCCGCGCCCGTGGCCTGGCCACAGCGGAGGATCTGCGGCAGGGGCGTGTCCGCTCTGCTCAAGCGCCGGGTGTTGGCCGCCTTCGACCTCCGCCTACTGCCCTCCTCCTCGCCCTGCTGGGCGCCTCAGCTCGGCCGTCGCCGTGGCTCCCCCAAAATGCTCTCTCTCCCGCTCTCCCCCGTCTTAGAGTCTTCGCAGCGCCTTCGCCCTCCTCGTGCTTTTCCCGGCCCGTGGCGATTCTCGTGAGGAGGACCGAGTCCTAAAGGCTCGCGGCTGCGCTTCGCAGACGTCCATGGCAGCCCCATGCGCGGAGCGGCTTTTTCGGGCCTTGTTGTCCTTGTCAATCAAAGGGTCCAGGTCCGGCTTCACGTTGGAGGCCTCGGAGCCGGGAACCCGTGGCGGCCTCCGGCGCCCTCTTCGAGCCCCCGGCCGCCAAGCGGGAGATCGACAGCAGCTGCCCCTCGCGAAAGCGCGCACACAAAAAGCAGCGCTCTTTGGGGGGCTCGGCGGCTCGGCGGCTCGGCTGCTGGCCTTCTCATAGCGGATGATTTTCGGCCCCCCGGCCCTCAGCATCTTCATGATGGCGGCGGCGTGCTCGTCCATCTCCTGAACTTCTGAACACGCATCGACGTCGGCCGCCGCAGCGATTCACCGCGATTCGCGGCCGCGCTTCGCCTCCTCGTCGCCGGAGTTCGGGCCCTCCGCCTCGGAAGAGGTGCAGCGTGCTGGAAAGCAGCCGAGCTCCAGGCATAGGAAGCCTCGGCCCCAGCGCCCTTCTTGTGCTTCCCTTTACCTTTAGAGGGAAGCACAAAGGAAGGAAGTTCATATGCACGAGGTGTGCAGGCCGGCAGGCAGCCTCTCCCTTTGCTTTTTCCGTCACCGTCCTGAGGCAGAGGTGCAGGGCAGCATCAAGGCGCGGTCGCAAAAGTCTTCGGCGCGCCTCCTCCCCTCGGGCCTCGCGCCGGGGACGTTCGCCTTTCCGCCTCAGAGAGGAGAAGATCACAAGAAGACGTGGCGCTGCTGGTCTTTTTTTCCCATCTTGCTCTGAGTCTGTCCATAACTCCCCGGAGACCATGCCGGGCAGCTGGCCCCTTTCCTTTCCCACCTTCCCTGGCTGCCAGAGGGCTCTGCAATGGAGGAAAGAGAGCGTGACACGATGTCTCCGCAAACCAGCGTGCCTGCCCTTGGAGACTCCTTCTCTGTCCTCCCCATTCTCGGGCTCTTTCACTTTATCCTCAGTGTTAGACCCTTCATGGAGGTTGTAGAAAAGAGTGCAAGCATCGCATCTCCGCAACGCCCTGAGCTCAGGCCGCGTCGGCTGGGGCGGCTCCTGCAGGAGTCTTTTTCACCTGAGTTGCGCGCCCCGAAGGCTGGGCAAGTCCGGAAAGCGCACTGAGTCCTCCGACCCAGGCACTCTCCTTGCCCTCGCGCCCTCTTGGGGCCATCCTCGCAAGACTCAAATGCAGAGGCACGGAAGTGCCGGGAGACGCCTTCTTGGGAACAAGGCCTCTGTTGGTGGCCAGCTCAGCAAAGATCTTTTTGTGCGGAGCCAATAGGAGACCTCACATGAACAGAGCAAAGTTGAGGGCTCTCCGAAGGCCTTCGTAGAGGCTGCTGCGTACGGCCGAGCGAGAGCCCTTAAGGTCAACTTGAAGCCCAACGGCAGCGGAAACAGAAGGGAACTGCTGCTCTCTGATTTGACGGGCTCCATGGCAGCAACATCCTCGCGCTCCCAAACAGAGCCTGAAACTCCCCTTTTCGACGGAGGTAAACGCGGGGGAGAGAGAGGCCGGTGCCAGGTACCCTCCATCACTGGGAGTCTGAAAAAAGTTTCGCCATGACAGAGTCTTTTCTTTCGGGAGAGGAGAACCAGAAACAGTTGGGAGTGGGAGATTGGTGTTGTTCTCAGCAGACTTCTTTCAAAGGGGATTCAGGGACGGCCTCTTTCAAGTTTCTGGTATGGCATACAAGTATCTATCTTTGTCAGGACACTCCTCCAGTGACCTGACTGTGTAAAACTACAACCAGGACGCTGGGATTTGGAACTGAAGCGGCTTGGAGCAGCAGCAGGCTCTATATGTCGGTTCCAGCTGCTGTTCCGAAGCGCAGCGGTACGAACACCAGCGCCCTGTGTGCAACATGAAGCCGCAAGTTCCCAGACGAACTCTAGCCCTCTTTCCAGCTAGTGACCGGAGAAGATCCATGTGTCTCAAAACACCTTGCGGCGTGCGGCGGATACTTTCCTGATGCTTCCGAATTCGGTCGATACCTGGTGCCAGAAAGCAAAACAGGCCGAGAAGTCAGCGACTCCAAAACACTCACTCATGCCAGCAAGAGAGTACTGCAGACTAGCGCTTTACGGAACTCACAAGACCCGGCCAGGGCGGTTCTCCAGCACTAGGTCTACACATTCTATATCCCTCCAATCCAAGCCGGCGGCTTTTTCGCGGGGGTGAATGAGGGAAGCACCGAAGCATCTATCCGGCTTCCGAAGGCAAGACGTCACAACATCCTAGCCGCTAGCCTGCAACAGTATCATCTGAATCATCTACTCAGCTACAGCAATGCCTTAAGCTTGGGCTCTCGTCTTGTCGGATGTGTAGGACATCTCTTTGCGAATTCAGGTCACGGCAATGACCCGCTTGAGCGGGTTCCTCGATCAGCAATGTCGCCTGTACCCTGCTGACGACCCAAACAGATCAGCCTTACAGTCTCCCGAAGAGGCAACTCAGGATTCCTCTCAAAAAAAATCCCCAGCAGCTGGACGACAGAGCTTAATTGTCATGCAGGTTTTCACACCGGTTCTCGGGCAAACCACGAATGAGAGGAGCATTGGTCACCCGATTCCCGGTGAAGGAACGACAGAGTCCCACCTCTGGGCGAGACATGGGTTTGTCAGACAAGGAGGAGCGTTGGGATCGGGGTATGTTTCGCGGGTATGTTTCAGGGTATGTTTCGGGGTGTGTTTCGCACTGCCACGACGCAGAAGTAGTGGTGGTGGTGGTAGTAGTAGTAGTAGTAGCAGCAGCAGCAGCAGCAGTAGTAGTAGTAAACGGCCATTGGGTCACCTGGAGCAAATGCCGGTGTGTTTCAGGTATGTGACAAGTATGTTGCGGGAACTCTTGGCCGCGTTGCGCCAATCTAGACGTTCGCTCACTGCTAGCTTCGTCCAGACGATTGGGATGACACAAGGGTGCGTTTCAGGTGTATGTTTCGGGGTATGTTTCGAGGTATGTTTCGCTCCAAGCCCAAAACAACTGACAGACCCACATCTATGGATGTGTTTCAGACTTCTGTCCAGCCGTCTTCGGCAAGGACAGACGACCACATGCTCACTTCTTAAACCCACCCCGGACTCCATGCTCTATGCGCAGTCCCCCGTGATGATGACTCCAGAAACTTGTTTGCATCCATGGGGGAGACACATCTTCACGAGGGCCCATGGAATGGAGCTGGGGCGCTTGCTGAGAGAAGGAGATAAGAGAACCTGGGCGGAAGAAAGGATTCGAGGCGCAGGTCCACCGCCCTGCGCTGCACGGAGGCACAGCGAGAAAATGGTGAGATGCGGAGACTGCGGAGATAGAGAGAACGTGGGTCTGATGCTCTGGAGTGGGACGGCGGTGGCACTGGCCGATCTGAAGCCCAAGGAGTAGATGCGAAGGTTTTCACAGGGGCAAATGTGGCAGGCAATAGTACCTGCACATACCCAGTGCGATAGACCTGTAAAGTAAACTGATTTTTTTCTAACTTCGGCATTGCCATTCGGTGCACTGCTAGGCTCAGCCGCTCTTGCGCTGAGAGCCCTCAGCCGCTGCATCACCAAAAATGTCCCTTTTGCACCGATGAGCCAGGTAGCGTCCAGCACACCACAGTCTAGATGCAGTCTCACGCAGTCGAACAGGAGATGTCCGAAACGCACATTGCAAAGCTTCATTCCGGGACTGCCTTTCTCGGACTGTGGCTGCTCCTGCCTGGTCAACATCTCATGCATTCTCCAGATTTGGAGCCCCTTCGGCACAACCCCGTCGAAGAGGCGAAGATCCATTTCAATGTCCTGCAACAGGCTTCTGTTGCGGGGAGGATTGGAATGGTCAACCGGTCACTTGCCTTCGAAAACCGACACCGTCGTTTTGGCACCTGGGCTTGTAGGGTGCTGCAGGTGGGCTCCCCTCCCCTGACCGGCCCCCGATCGGCGACTGCAGGGAGCCGTAATGAGCCGTCACTTTTTCTCAGGATGGCCACACCCATCAGAGCGCAGCTAAAGTCACAGGATGCGGAGAAGATTAGANNGGGGGGGGGGGGGGGGGGGTGAGACAAAACGAGAGCAAGTGTCGAAAAGCTCAGGCTTTTAGCATCGCTTTTCAAACACAGAAGTCTCAGTGGAAGCGAGAGCCGCTCAGTCCAGGACCTCTCCATTTCCCACAGACAGTAGAAGACCACGGCTAACTTCAAGTCATCGCTTCTTAGACTTTAGAAGTCATCAAAGCTTCTCAAAGAAGACTCGTTTTGTTCGCCCTCGCGCCTGGCCGGGCAGGGAGGGCACCGAGGGCACCACGGCCATGGCCCGACCCTCCTCTTCCGGACCCGGAGATCCCGGAGTCGCCGCGCTCAGGTTTCCCTCCCCAAGCGTCTCCGCGCCCTGGGACTCCAAAAGCGAAACCAGAGGCAACAAAAATCAAAAAACTCGCACCGATGGGGCTGCCAGCGCTGGGGAACCGCACGTAGCGAGCGGGCTCCGGCTGCGAGTCCTGCCACGGTGGCGGAGACAGCGTTCTCCCGATCGCCCTCGAGCTTTTGTTCTGCTAGCGATGTTTCGTGGCAAGGCCACGCACGTGGGTTTGGAGGTGACACGCCCAAGTCACGTCGAGCCGTTCAAAACAGCATCTCACATGACCTAGGCCGCAAATCGCCCCTTCAGAGGACATTCCCTCTGCGCCACGAGCAGTGCCTGAGCTTTGACCAGGCATGACTATTTCTGACGAGAACCCCCATGCATCTGCTCGTGGCATGCCCCAGGAGCAAAAAGCAACGTCTGGTGACGTGGAAGTGGGCACAACCTGGCTCCGGAAGTTCGCGAGGCATGGTGTGGGTCCTGAGTCCTGGTGATTTGATAAAAACTTCCGTCAGCCAGGCCGCCGAAAACGCTGCACAAGGCGCTGCAGGTGCTTCTCTCACATGCAGCAGATTTTTTAAAGAGTTGGGAAAACCATGACGCCGGCCTTGCCTGCACAGACAATTGAAATCCAGGTGCCATGCGAGAGTTCGGCAAGATTTGCCGATTTGCAGCTCTTTGCATTCATTTCAAGTTCTTCAAGTTCTCAGTCAAGTCGGACAGGGTCTCGGGGGACTCGCTGAAGTCTGCAGACTGTGCAGCCTCGCCAGAGCAGCCTCAAAAGCCTCCCGGCCCCTTGGCCTCCTCCTAAAGCAAAAACGAACTTCCGAGCGGCGTCTGCCAGGGCTTCCGCCGCAGTCTGCCCCTCCTAGAGGCAGCGATCAGATTTGCTTTCAACAGCTTTCAACAGGTCTTACCGAGGAAGGGCTCTCGTGGCTCCTGGAGGGCCACGCCAGTGTCCAGGGATGCCAAGGCCTGGCACAAAGCAGCGAAAAATCGGACCTGCCTCATTGAGAGAGACAGGCCAAGATGAGACTGCGTGTAGAACAAAGGAGGCACTGTTGTGGACGTTGTACGTCACGATGGCCAAAACACAGTCAGATCATGTTCAGGAACATGGCAGGGCCGTGCCGCCGGAAGGTTCGCGTTTATGGAACTTGGATTTCGTTCATGCAAACTGCTGCACCCTAAACCCTAAACCCTAAACCCTAAAATGTAAACTAAAAGTGATGCGTTGAGGGGCGCTGATTAAAGTTGGCTCAGCAAGCTACAACGCTTCGTTTGTGGGCAACGGAACTGCAGCATTGGTGGACGGCCCTCAGCGATTACAAGCTCTCCGAAAAATCCTGGCTGGCGGCAGTGCGGATTTCACTGCAAACCGCTTGGTCCGGGCCCCTTTGCTCGGAGCGGAGCCTCACCGATGCCGGCGGTGACCGAGGCCTCTCCGGTGAAGAGACCCAGCACGTCCAGGGCGGTGGAAGCCGTCGCGACCTCGGATGCGCTTTGAATGCTTGAGGTTTGAGGTTTGTAGCTTTTGGGTGACGAGAGGCGGCAACAGGCTGCACGTCGGGATTGAAATGAGCGCAAATAAACCCTCCCTGAAGCCACTGAAGGCTTCAACACGTGAGGCAAAGGCCCAAGCCCAAGCCCTGAGGCTCCCGGCAAAAGCGATGAACTTCTGCGTGTTCTCGTCCTTCCACGCCGCCTTCCAAAGGGGTCGCACTTTGGGCCACATCTCCGGGCCGGAAGCAGAAAGCGCCTTGATCTTGTCCCCAAGCGTTTCCTCCTCGTACCTCGAGTGTCCATAGAAAGCATGGCGACAGTCGCTGCTTGCAGATTTTCGCTTCGCAGGGCCGGGCCCCCGGCTTGGCGGGCTCCGCACCCTTGGAGCCGAAGAACTGCGCCGGAACGCGACTCGCTGCCCGAGGGGCCGGGGCCCTGCAGCAACAAAAACAAAAAAAAACAAAACGTCGGCAAGGCACCAGACACGACGATGTGGCGCGCGCTTCGTCCTCTCTGGAGCCTGCCTGGCCTGGGCGTGACGAACGACAGGGCGGAAAAGGCGGAGCCCAGCAGCAGCGCTGCGATCCCACAGGCCAAGAGCCTCCCACGTGCCAAGGGAGGTGTGCCGCAAGGGTGGTGAATCCATGCATTCCATTTTTCGCCCTTTCCCTTGCGGAGCGCCAACAGCCTTGTACCGCGGGGACGGTGGAGGCCGCGAAAGGCCATGCTGGGCCTCGGCAGCAAGCAAGGAAGACCCGACGAAGGTCGCAACTGTGAGTAGGGCTGCGGGCTGCGTCACGTTCTGAGGCACAGGTCTCGGCCGAAAGGTCACGCTTGCGAGCTTGTGCTGCGGAGTAGCCATGCAAGGCAATACGACCAGAGCTGCTCTTGAATGGCTCTGAAATTCGCTGAGATTTCAACATGCGAGCGAGAGAGAGAGAGAGAGAGAGAGAGAGAGAGAGAGAGAGAGAGCGAGCGAGCGAGCGAGCAGCCCTCTGCAAAACACGACATTCAGTGTCAATGCGCGCCCTGTGTCTGCAAACATGTCCTGATTCATATCAACCAACAGATAACAGTTCAATGACTTTGCTCGTTAAAGCGAACGTACAGGCCGAGCCATTGTGAAGTTGCGGCTTCGGCGTGAATGCCTCGAGAGACAAGCGCGCCCTCTCCTGGTGGAGCATCTCGGCGGGACGGCCGCGAGCGCCGCGAGGGCGGCTCTGCCGCCTCGGCGGGAGGACCTGCAGTGCACAGTGCAGAGCAGAGCAGAGCAGAGGCCTGTTTGTCCCTCTCTTATTTTTGGTGGCTTCTTTCTATAGGGTACTCTATAGAGGTGTGCAGAGACGTATCTCTTCTCTTGGCGCAGGTTTGGCCCCCGGCCAGCTCCGGGCAGCGCATGGGGCAGTGCCGGCTGCGCTGGAGCCAGGCGGTGATGCACTCGCCGTGGAAGACGTGCGAACCTCTCTCTCCCGCTCGGATTTGGTTACCCCGTGCTCTTGGGTTGGGCCATCCCCATGAACTGTGTTGTCTGGGAAGCCGGCATGGCAGCTGCACGGCGGCCTCGTCCTGCAGTGCGACCCGCTGCGGCCCGTCCACTCGAGTGGCCTGCATTTACGGCCTCTTCGAAGTCGCAGAGGCAAATGGAACAGGTCTGCGGCATCCCCTGAATTACAGAACCAAAGGCCCAAATTAAAACTCGCAGGCGACTTCAGTGTACTTCATTACATAATTGCTTGAGGCCTCCTCCGGAGTCAGCTTCACGTGCCGCGCCCGGTGGAGGGAGCGCCCCTCCGCCGGCGCCTCTGAAGCGCACCGGAGGAGAACGAGACGTCCGGACTGCGATCATTCTGACTCGAGGGCTCTCAGCTGCGGACAGGCGGTCGTGGCTTGGTGGAGAGGGCGGCCAAGAGCGTCACCGTGTCCACGAAGCAGAGGAAGATCTGTGGATCCGAGAGGAGCAAAATCCAACAAAGCGCTCAGCCAAGGCCAGCCAAGCGGCATTGGCGACCAAGAGGATACCGAACCAAGCCTCGGTCGACACTTTCAGCGCCAAGCCCTACCGCTCTGCCCCCAGCCCACCACCGGCCTCCTGCAAGCCCACGTTCAACGGCGTGCTGAGCAAATACCTCCGCAGAGCAGAAGCAGAATCTATCAGTGGGGGGAACGGTACTGCTATTTCACCAAGAAGCCACATGTCCAGCGTGATGGCCACGCCCCATCGCACTTCTGCTGCCTGCCTTAGCACGGATTGACAATGCTAGAATCTGCAAAAGAGAGAGGGCCCGGGTGTGTGGTGTGGAAATACTCGGATCCCCGCAACATGCCGGTGTACCCCTGCATCCTGGACTGGAAAACACGGGCCACACGGGTTCACTGCGCTCCTCGGTGAAAGCAGTGCCTCCATCGCAGGAACTCCGGGATGCAGCACCTCCAGAGCCGGGGCCTCGGAGAGAAGGACTCCCCACCGCTCTGCACTCGCGCGAAGGCGAAAGAACGCGCCCTGAAACTTCCCTGAAACCTGCCAAGGGTCAGCAGGAGGCAGCGTGCGAGAGCCCCGATCACCGGAGCCAGCCTGAGGCGAGGCTCCGAGGAAGGGGAAGGGAGAGGAGCCCCAGTCCCACTCTTTCTCTTCGAGAGGCTGCCGCGCCTCACGACAGACACGGCCAGCCGCAGCACCAGAGGCCAGGGGCCCTGCAGCCGTGAGCGCTGAGGCGAGGCGCACAGGGACATCAACTCCATTTCGGCGAAGATGCTTGGGATCACCACTGCCACCTCGCCGAATCGCGTCGAGTCGCTCTTCCGAGTCTCCGCTCAGGTTCCCCGCCTCCAGCACACCGCAGGCCACCACGACGAGCCGGGCCATCAGCCGCCCGAGCCTGATTTCCGGCACGTCGCAGGTCGCGCGTGGCCGTGGGCTCTCGCTGGGAGTCCCCTGCCAGCTCGAGCTCGGCGCCAGCCAGCTCGTGGAGCCCAACCTCAGCAACGCAGCAAAGCACAGGCAGAGCGCAAGGCGCGGAGCAGAACGCGCAAGAACGCACCCGAGCCCGTGGGCCCGTGGGGGCCCGTCTCGGCGGCACACGACTCCGAGTCCGAGCTCGTCATGCTCGCCGAGGCCTCGACAGGAACAAAAGCGGTCTGCGCCGGCGCCGGAAACCTCCTCGCTTCCCTCGCTTCCCTCCGGCCCTCGCTTCCTCGGGCGCCGGCCGCTAGGCCGGAGTCCTCCGCCCGGCGCTCGTCACGGAGGGGCGGAGCCGCGGCCATCCTCTCGGCTCAGCGCGTGCGCATGCCAAGCCAGCTGTGCGGCGCCAAGGAGAGACCCGGAGGCGTCCGCCGGAAAGTGCTCGGCGCTGGCTTCCCCTTTTTGTCCCCCTTTTTCCCCCAACAACAAGACGTCCTGGACTCGGCTCCCGTCTCTGCCAACGCATGGCGACGGCTGCCACGAGAAGCTTTCTTTTTCTGAAGACGCTGGTCGGTGCTGTATTTAAGAACACCTATTCTAGTACCACCATGCTGCCCGCACCCCGACGGGCCACTGCTGCCTGTACTTGCGAGCCAAGGTGCAAGTGGGCCAAAGTCGTCTGAAAACTTCTCAAAGCATGCAAAGTCAAACGGGAAAGCGGTAGCTGAGACAGCCACGGCTCCAGCCGCAACCAGCGCTGCCGGCTCTGCAGAATTCAGCTCGCAGCATTAAAAGTTGGATGCTGGGCCTCGTGATGGCAGCGTCTTCGTTTTTGTTCTACCCTCTCTCTCAAGAGTTTATATAAGCCGCAGGCACCCAGGACGAAAACTTTTACAAGAGCCTTGGCTTGTCTGGGCTTTGCGGAGAGCTTTGCGACACTCTTCGCTTTGATTCCCGGGCCGAGCTGCCCGGTGGGTGGCCTCTTTCAGCTCGCAGCTGCTGGAAGCCGTGGTCGCCTGGAGAAGCGGATGACGCATTAAAGGAATCTCAGACAGAATCCCGGACGGTCAGTGCTCTTGCGGTCGCCTGAAGCAGCGGGTAGAGGGATGCCTGGACTGCGACAAAGGTGCAATATGTGCTGAAGCTGCCAAACCTGCACAACACTTTCACTCATTCGAAAAATGGGACGAGGCACTCCGAATAGCGGAGGCCTCGGCAAAAGGTGCAGTCAAGAAGCCCTCCCGATCCCTCCCACACGTTCAAGCGGGGGGGGGGGGGGTATCTCACGATTGTCTTTGTGCTGCTGCGGGTCATCGTCTGCACCCGGTGCCGCTGGCTGAGCTCCTGAAAGCCGGCGACCCAGTAGGCTGACGGGACCTGGCGCAAGTCCACCCCGCGACAAGAGCTTCTTGTTCCATCAGAACCGGAGTTTACCGGGCCTTCTCTGGACGAAGACAGTCTGCGGGAACCAGCTGGCTCCACACCAGGCCGAGGCAGAACCTAACCCAAACACAACACAAAAGCAACTGCGCAAACCCTAAACCCTACATCCGAAACCACCCTTCTCGCTTCTCCCCAGCTACTGGGCTTCCGGCAAGCCCAATTCGAACTCTCGCGGCGGGCTCCGGGAAGAGCTTGCCTTTACCGGACAGACAAAGATCTCTCACGCATGTGAGCATACATATACCTTTCAAGGAATATATGTATGCATGTATGTATGAATGCATGCATGCATGCATGCATGCATGCATGTATGTATGTATGTATGTATGTATGTAGGATGTAGGCATGTATACATGTATAGATGTA